ACCGCATCATTACCTTTTCCATTCACCACAGGAAACACGGGGATAAGGTCACAAAAATTAATTTGTTCTTCTTATGGATAATTCTGGCACCCGGGGTATGTTGCAACATACCTTAGTTTCTGGCGAGATACTTAGTAGATCATGCAGTTAGTTCTCGGGCCGGAAGCCCAATATGTGGTGGGCGTTTTGTGACCCGTTTAGCACATTCGTATGGAGTTATCATTCCTGGGATGACTAGGACTTTTACATGAAAAGAAGGGAATAAGTTTTCTTTGTGCTATTTGGAAACAATGCATGTGGTAATTAATATGGGTACACAATGGAGTATATCGGCCGATGATAAGGATGATGACCACCACAACAAAGAGGAAGGAGGAATGTAAGAGGAAGAGGAGAGAGAGATCAGCTGTTGCATCAACATAAGCACATGGGAGGAGGACCATCTCGGGATGAGATGTTGTCAGGATATTTGGACTGGATGCATGTTAGTATGAATTGGATTAGTGGTACTATGGAAAATATGGTGCAACATTTCAATATCACCCAACCACCGACTTTGGGGTACCAGTATCCGATTTGCCCGTCTTGGGGTGAAATGCGGCCGGGGCAACACTTTGGAGCAGGCACGAGTGGAACAGCTGATAATGAAGGAGATGACGAATGATGAAATTATCCTTTTTATTGCATTTTTAGTTTTTGTCATTTTTAGTCTTTTTTATTTTTAGTGTGTTTTGTTTTTTTCTTATTTGGTTTGATTGTGTAACAAAACTTTTTGATGATTATGTTTCTTCCTTCCACATTTTGGTTGTTTGTTTGTAGAAAATCGTGAGAGAAATTAGAAAAATAGAGATAAGAGAGTATACGAGTTAAGCCGTGTCGTTTAGAGTCGAGAATCGAGACCAATAATTTTTGATAAGTGTGGGGTTAATTTCGTAAGAGAAACAAGATTAACAATGAGGAAAGAGTAAAATAAATATAGAGTCATAGAAGGGTCTTAATATATTAAGAAGTTTAGTTGCATTGAACTTGATAGAAGAAATTTTTGCAAGATGACAATCTGTGAGACCCAGTTCTCACGACGTGAGTTTCATACCCCACGTCGTGAGCTCGAAGACAATAAAATTCAGAGTTCGATTTCATACGACACCACGTCGTGAGTTTCATACCCCACGTCGTGAGTCGCATATTTCTATGATTTGGAAGCCTTTTATTCCATACTCATGTCACAGCTCACTATTATCATGACCTAAGATATCATAAATCTGATTATTACTCTACTCTTTCCAACTTACAATGTGGCGTATACTTTCCCACATTGAGATGCTATGATTTGAAGATCTTATACACACACATGTTGAAGATGCGAGTTTCTGCTTCACATTTAGCCGACACATTCACATATCTCAGAAGATCCAAGTTCCATTCACAAATTTAAGATGTTTAAGTTATCCACACGTTCAGAAATCGATCTCGCCACTACTATCCCAGGGGAGTCTGATCCTTTTTCTCCCTTTTATTGCTTTTAAATTAATTTATGCATACAATGAGGGCATTGTATGTACTAAGTGTGGGGTAGGGGGTCGAAAAAGTAAATTGCTAGAAAATTTAAAATTTTATAATTTAAAATACTAGAAATATATTTGAAATAATAATCTAAAAAATATTGAATCTAGTAATAGTTTAAACTTAAGTTGCTAGTGTTATGTGAGATGATCCGATGCGAGCTCAAATGTTTAATTGAGCCAACATATGTTATAGTATATTTGTGGCTTCCCAAGTCCTAGTGAAAAGCCATGAGATATGAAAGGTATTTAATAGTTTATATGGCATAATATGTTTTGCAGCCTAAACGTGAAATTTATCCAGGAGAATTTATGTAGTCATTGCACTTAGACTAATACCTCTAACTAATAAAGGTTGAAGTTAATCTCCTTTGCTTAAGCATATAGGATTTGAGCGAAAAAAGTGAGATATATATATTTAAAAAAAAGAGAGAAATTACCCAAAAAATTGAAAGAATTTTGGAGCTAACAAAGTATGAAGATCAAAAGATCAAAATTTTAAAGACTCAAAAGTTGAAGATACCAAAAATCAAACAATAAAGGTGGTAAATTCAAAGAAATCAAAGAAAAATATTTCAAAGAAGTGAAGAATTCCAAGAGCTCCATTGTGGTATCAAAGTTGTAATTTTTCTAGATTATGTATGCTTGGGTAGCTTAACTAAAAATACCTTGAGGTTAAGAAAGATTTCTGAGGATTGATTCGGATGGTTGCAAAAATGAGTGTCGTATAAACTAAGGGGTGAAGGTTCATAAGGATTATAAGTATTTAGGATTGGGAAGTTGTTAGGATTTTAGACACAAATATGCACATTGAGTTCTTGGTATAATGGTTGAGTTCAAAATGGATTGTCCTATATGATGTTGGTGATGAAAGTTTGACATAAAATTAATTAGCTTTGCTTGAGGGCAAGCAAAGGATAAGTGTGGGGTATTTGATATTGCCATATTTATACACATTTTGGGGCTATATTTTAATACATTTTGATTAATATTTTGGTTATTTGCAAGGATTTTGATACTTATAAGATTAAATTGTATTTTGCAGCTAGAAGGAGCATTCTTGTAGAAAAAGGACCAAAAGCGACAAGAATCAGAACTTGGAGGATTGGAGCTTAAAAGGAGAAGATTCTAGCTAAAATTCAGCCTCACAACCTGAGGAATCCTTCTCACGGCGTAGGCCTCAAGCTTCTAGAAGATAGACATTCAAAATACATAATCTGTGTTCGATACGGATTACAACCAAACTCACGACGTGAGGAATGTTTCTCACGACGTGAGCAGGGCTTTTCCGAAAAATATATAAAATCCTTGGCACTTACTATTTTGGAGAGTTTTTCCTAGAGACTTGGAGAGTTTAGAGAACTATTTTTGGAGGAAGTTTACTCAGAGAAACCAAGTCCAAGCATTAAAGGAAAGAGAATTGATTGAAGGTTTAGAGATTGATGATGATAATCATCACTTTAGTTTGGTACATTTAATCATGTCTTTATTTATTGAATTTGAGTGTGTGATTTAAGCACCATTCCATCTGCTATACAACCAATGCTTGCAGGTCACCTGTCTTCCCCGATGGCCGCCATGTCGCACGTCGCGCTATTCACACAGTAACCAACGTTCAACCCATACTCCTACTACTACTAATGCATGTACCCCCAAACATAACCACAAAACAACAACAGTCAAGGCACACCGGTGCAGGGGATGCACTCGTACACCATGGGACCAACGGAATCGAGCTCACAGTCAAATCAACTGGTGCATGCATACCCCACACAGGCAGTGTATGTGCCATAAGCGCCAGTATACAACCATGGCTACCGTTACGAATATGGTCAAGGGTACGCTAGACCCTATTACATGCAACACGCAATGGCCAGTGAAGCACCTGCATATCCACACATGTATGACTCAATATCAAGCATTAGCTCGGCCTTTTGTCAGGAGCTCCTGCAGTACGAAATATCACATTTCACCATGACCCCAAATATCCCAAAATATAACGACACGATAGATCCCGACGAACACATAGACACTTATGAATGGACGATGACATCGCTCCGGATAGAAAAGAGGTTCACCTGCACCTACTTCCCGGTCACACTGTCAGGAAACGCCAGCAAGTGGTTCAAGGCGTTACCACTCGGAAGCATCTCCAACTTTGAACAATTGAGACATCTATTCCTCCACAATTTCGTGCAGTTGAGAAAAGTCATAGGAGATGCCAAATCGATCATGGCATGCAAGAAAAAGGAGGGAGAGTCCATCCAAGCATATTATGGCCGATTCACCTTAGTAACTTTAAGCGTCCCAGGCCATGAAGAATTCTTAGTCACGGGCACCTTCGCCCAGGGGCTACTCTCAGGCCCCCTGTCAAGAAAAATGCAAGGCACAATACCGAAATCTAAAGACGAGCTTAAATACAGGGTCAAGAAATACCTCCGACGGATCAAAGGAGAAGAACGCAAACAAGAAAATTTAAAGGTTGTAGAAAACGCATACCTTAAACAAGAATCATTCGGCTCCTACTCTCGCCACAACCATAAAGAGCGCAACGATGGAAACCACGACAAACAAAGCATACATTCGAGATATTCCTCCCGCAGATTCCGCCCATTCGTCAAAGACGATCTGAGGAGCCACAAGTCGGAAGTACACGCCGTAGAAAAAACCATGCGGTTGGCGGAGAATGAAAAAAGCAAATACTGTTAATACTAGAAGAGCGAAACGCACGACACCGGAGAATGCGCGATACTCAAAAGAGAAGTAGCGGACAAGTAATTGAACGGAGACCTAACATAAATAGCAAGGATCCTACGGTTAAAGTTTGAAGCTGCCCAAAAAGATGAAAGAACCCGCAACGAAGCAAGCAAACAACAAATTAAAAAAGAGGAGATTTTCACAATAGCAGGACCCAAGGGCCAAGACAAGTACCAACGGCAGGCGAAAGGCGATGTGATACCACCCGGAGGCACTCTAAACATCAGTTTCTCACCATCGGACCCACCGCCCGACTAGGACCCAACAGATCCAATCATATTCCCTGCCACGGTCATACAGTAGAAGACCTGGAGAGCCTTAGTTGATGGAGGTAGCAGCAACGATATCCTTTACGAGCACTATCTCAGGCAACTCCCACCATGCTAGAGAAGGAACCTGAAACCCCCAGCCAAGGAACCACTCGTTGGCTTCAAGGGACACAAGTTGTGGCCACTCGGCACCATAAACCTACCATTGACTATAACCAGCGTCGATAGGAAGGAACAAGTAATGAGGATAATCGAGTTCTCGGTAGTCAAGCAAAGGTATGATAACGATATAATCCTTGGGCGCCCGAATCTTTTTCAATTACATGTTATCCCATCGACAATACATGGCATGGTCAAGTTCAGAACAACCAAAGGTTCAGCAACGGTCACAACCATTAACACACAAGCAAACTCAATCCGGGAAATCGCCACGTGGGCCACCACGCTCATCCCAAAAAAAAGACGGACCATGATAATCACATCCAAAATGGTCAAAGACGAGGAGAAAGACACCCACGCCCCCGATAAGAAGTACAAGCGCAAGCCTTGGGCATGTAGCCCAGAGGGGGAAGGGCGTGGTAGCAACAACATCACCACGCCATATACATCGCGTATTGTTAGTATGAACACCAAGAAGGGTTGGATACCACTAAGCATACCCACACGCCTTTGTGAAGTGAAGGCACAAAGTACGAAGAAGAAGCCTGACAGAAAACAAAACTAAAAGATCGCAAAAGTCGGGGAGTGAAAGACAGGGAACCAACCTGCAAAAGAAGATACAGACAGGAGGCTGCCAGCAATGGTAAGAGCCCGCAATTGGTAGAAGCTTTTGCCAGGACAGCACCTGGTCCAAAACCCCATGAAAAACAGAATTAATAACAACAACGCAACACCAGATGACACGAAACCTCCTAAACATAATAACCAAACAACCGACACTAGAGAATGGAAGAGATTGAAAATCGTCTTCTGAAGGATGATTGTCCCAGAAACAGCTTGTCACATAACGCAAAAATCATAGAACTTGTAAGCATAGGAAAGGCACAGAGCAAGAAGGACCAAAAAGAAGAAGAATTCATCCCGATGACCTGGGAGCCCCAGGGCCCAACCAATGGTCCTAGCTTGGAAGGAATCAAGAGAAAGGGCTATGTGATTAAACTCCCACTGGATAATCACACCCCAACTAGCCAGTAAAAGACCTAGAAGTATAATAGAATCAGTTATCGAACCCCCGATACCTACCTAAACGATGTAGGTGTCTCCAAGACATCAAACAAAATATATATATGCAATGAAAATTTAGAACGGAAAAGTATCAAAATACTTTCGTACAAAGGGAAAACAAAAACGGGCTGATCACTCGTGCCGCATAAAAATAAAATCATGGAGGAAAACACAATTGTAAGCCTCAAGGGCTCATAATTTCCCCCTAACAAACATGTCAACAAGGTCAGTAGAGTCGCAACTCCTGATCATGACAAACAAGAGGCTTTAAAGGATCATAACCTTTCCATCAAAACATATAAACTCCCAGACTTCGAGGTGACGATATTGGTCTGGTTTAGATGACAAGGGCCAGAGAGCAACTCTCCTTGGCCCGGGGCATAGAAAAAGGCCCCAAAACAAAGACCTTTAGCTAAAAAAAGGATGTTCCAACGAAGCAGGCCGGCTAGCGCCCGCACCTAAAAGCGAGCCAAAGCCTCACACTACAAGGTCGGGCCAAAGGACGAACGACAGGGTCAGATGTGTTGGGCCATCAAAACTCGTCAAAACAAATAACAACCACCCCCAAAAGGGTTACACTAAGCTTTGGGAAGAATTCAAGCCAGAGATGGCCAACATAAACCATCAAGCACAAGGACAACACAAAACAATAGTGTAACAGACCAAAAGAAGGGGAATTTAACATACACAAAATAAATTGTCTACCCAGACAACCCCCCGGGGTTTGCATGAAGGACCACACAGGGCCAAAGAAAAGCAGCGAAACATTGTTTAAGTGCCAAACAAACATAAACATTGTTTTGAAATATTCAAAGAAGAAATAGAAGCCATCACTTACCAGGGGAAGCACCAACATGAGAAGAGCCACCTTCGATTTGACTATCTTCGTTGTCAGAGTCATCACACGACTGGCGAAGGCGTGCCATGTCGAGCTCGCCCAGGTGGAGGTAAGCGAAAAAGTCTGTCTCCATAAACACTTTCACTACAGTGTGCATCGCCTGAGTATGCTCCGTGGTGGCAACTGCCTCCCCAGGGAAAAACTTCCCAGTAATGACTTGTTCCCGGACCTCTTGCTTGCCGTTCTACACACCAGCGGCCATGCACATCATCTTCATCTGCTTCACCCCCATTGCTAACCCATAACATTCAACTGCCTTGTCCCCAAACGGACAATTCCATTCTGAAGCAGCCACCCCAGATCATCCTCCACGCTCTTCCTCCTCGCCTCCTCTTCCCCTAACCGCCTGTTAGCACGATCCACCTGGTCCTCAAACGCCTTCTTCTCTTCCACCAACGCCTCGATACGCTGGGAGAAACGTTCCACTGACCCGTCCAAAGCAACGGCCTTGTCCTCCAGAGATGCATTCTCCCCCGCCAAGAGATCATAGCGCTCCTCGAACAAATGCGTCTCCCTTTCTAACCCCGGCAGCTTGGCTCTCAAATCATCTCGCTCATCCCTGATATGAATGAGCTCGCCAGAATTGGAATTGCCCTGACGAAGGCGAGATGCAGTCGCAACCATATATAAACCAACCTGGGAAGCTGCATATAGGAGACTGTTAGAAATATGAGTATTCGAGAAAAGCTCCAAGGCCTCGATGGTGGCGGGGGAAAAGCATGACGACCCCAATCGTATGCCACCGTGTGCTGGGAAAGGTGAGACGTCCGAGTTATCCCCCACCCGGGCAAGTACACAGTCGGTGATGTCGGAGGAACAGGAACAAAGCCCTCAATAGGGTCTCCCCTAGCCAAAAGCAGAACTAGCGAGCTGGGAGCACCTTCATGACCAGCTTCCTGATCCATACCTAAAACGTTTTCGCTAGCAGTATCTACCGGTTCTTCCTTGGGTTCACGGGGCAGTTCTATCGCCCCTTCTTTCATCCCCTCCGACTGTTTTGGAGTGTCATCATCGGGGATATCCATAATTATCGTGTCTTACCCTAGAAAAAAGTCTGCATTCCGTCTCTTCAAAAGACGATGCCCTGAGGAGCTGACCTCGACAGACTCCACCTACGGCGAGTCCAACCAGGAAAGTCGTCGTTTAGAAGCCGCGCATGTCCTACGTTGGACTAACCCAGTCGACGAACCCCCCCCCCCTCAGTATCAGAAGGCAGGGGGTCTTCACGAGAAACATCGCCAACAGGTGCATCAACCAGCACCTGGCCAGCAGGAGAATCAGACCCAGACGGGGAAACAACAGTAGGACCGCCGAGAGCCAAAGCACGATCAAGACTGACCGACGGAGGAAGCGTTTCAACCAAGGGCACCTCCCGGTATTGTAGGGTTCCCTAAAAATGGCCCCTCAATACCATCTCGAAGGGAAGAATCCTCTCATGAACTGCAAGCAAGGAAAAGTCCAAACACAGTTCACACAACGCATAAGCGAGAGTATATCAAAAGGAGTTGGGAAGGAGAAGTGATTACCGTATTTCTCGATGTAGAACTGGGGCATTATCCCTTGGGCCCTCCAGGCAGCACTCATCCCAACCGCAACAAGCATGTGGTCATCCCAATCCTCTCCATTAACACACATGGTCTTTAGTGCTTGCGCCACAGTGACGCTGGCCTAAAACAGTTTCGACCCTCGATCGGAAAAAGTGTCAAGCGAGGATAACCAAAACCCACAAGATTGCGATTCACCCAGAGCCACCAATTCTGCCAGTTCTTCTTCGGAGCTTTTTGGTTGATGATGAAGGGATGAACACCCCGCCTTTGGGAAAAGGTCCGAACACCGGATTGTGTAGAAGAATTGAAGAAAGCTTTGAAGGCCCAAAATTATGTCAGAACTCCAAGGGCCCGACAGACGAGTTCAAATCCAACGATCTTGTCGATGGAGTTTGGAGTCAGATCGTCCACACGAAAGCCATATTAGTGATGGTTTTTGGTATACTACAACATCCTATGGTGCACATACAACCCTAAATGCTTTGGATCTATGTTTTCTCTAATTATACATGCAATATTGTTTCCAAAGCATTAAGCCTACAACTAGCATACAAATGACATAAACAACATAAAATACTAGTTAGGAGTTTACCTCTTTATGTAGCTTGTAGAACTTGTTGTGTTTAGCCTTTAAGAACTTAGCACCAATACTATGAATGCCTCAAATGGAATCACAACACACCTAGGACAAAGGATGAATTTTTAAGAGAGTTTCTTCCACTCAAATCGGCTATAGTGACTCCAAGAACACTAGTGTCATTTTTTGGATGCTAAGGGGCTTCTTATATAGTGTGGAAAAACTAGGGTTACACCATGTAAACCCTAATAGGCATGGCCTTCCATATTCATTAGGCTCCATGGTTTTAAACCTCCATGGATCATCCATGGGTTGTCACATGGGTTTAGCCTAACCTAAGGAATCATGGATCATTGGCCCACACCATAAGAATGAATGATTTACCAAATCAACCCCTTATATTTAATTAGTCTCTTTTGATCACAAAATTAATTCCAAACTAATTCTTGATCAATACTAATTAAATAATATGATTTCATAGTAATGTATTAGAAATTATATTATATTAACAAATCATAAATAACCTCTTTTCAGAAGTCCATCCTATCAAATTTGTCCTGGTGATATGCAACCCAAATTGTCACACCCCCAAACCAAGGATGGCGGAAATGTCCGGGGGTGGATGACTTCATGTATAGTATCATAACAACAATTGTAATAGTAATTCAAGCAAACACAACCAACATATATATAATTGAAAAAGTTACATCATTGTATGAGTTACATGTTTACGAATCAATTACAATATGTTGACAAAATATGAAATAGTAGACGCCTTAGCGTCCCATCCTCAAAAGCACTTGGTTACCTGTTTAATGATTTCCTGAGAATACAAGTTGTTTGAAAAAGTGTCAACACAAAGGTTGGTGAGTTCATAAGCTTTTGTTTAGTATTATTAAAAGCCTTTCGTTTGTAAAAGTAGTATTTGTTATAGAAAAATCCAATATTTTCCTTAAAATGTATATGTAGTCTTAAATCCAAAGACCGAAATGTATAAGTAACTTTTCTTACTTATAATAAATAATGTAAGTTTAAATCGACATAAACTCGTTTAATTTTAATGAAGTTCCCGTAAATTCTAATATTCATTAATACTTTATGTGAGTTTATTAAAGCCTTTTCTTGTAAAAGTAGTGTTCGTTCCAGAAAATCCAATATTTTCCTTAATGTGTAAATGTAGTCTTAAAACCCAAAGACCGAAATGTACAAGTAGTGTTCGTTCCTTATAGTAAAACAATGCAAGTTTAAATCGACATAAACTCGTTTGATTTTAGTGAAATCCCCGTAAATTCTATGTTTGTTTATATTTAATGTGAGTTTATGAAAGCCTTTTCTTGTAAAAGTAGTGTTCGTTCCAGAAAATCCAATATTTTCCTTAATGTGTAAATGTAGTCTTAAAACCCAAAGACCGAAATGTACAAGTAGTGTTCGTTCCTTATAGTAAAACAATGCAAGTTTAAATCGACATAAACTCGTTTGGTTTTAGTGAAATCCCCGTAAATTCTATGTTTGTTAATACCACATGTGAGTTATTATAACCATGCTATGACCTAGTTGGCCTGAAACGACGTTCTTCAGGCGTCGGAAATGTTATGACATTTGTCACCCCAGACCTGTCGGTCTAGCTGTTGCATGCAGCTAAGGTGTGGGTTTGTCAGACCCAATATAGATCTATACACAAGTATCACGCTCTCCCTCGAGGAGACTCTGGTTATAATACAGGACTTATTTGTAAATTGAATCGAATGTCTCACAGAAGTCATTAACGAATTTACGTGTAGTGTAATGAAAACTTGGTACCGTATGGCCGTACCTTGCTTAATGAAAATATCCTTTGTATAAATGTACCCTTTTTAAATGTATGTGTTATGTAATGTTTCATAAAGTCATTAACGGAATTACTTGTTATGAAAACTTGGTACCGTATGGCCGTACCTTGCTTAATGAAAATATCCTTTGTATAAATGTACCTTTTTTAAATGTATGTATTATGTAATGTATCATAAACTATACCTATTATAGTTTATCAACCAAGGGTAGTACGTAGTAATGTATGCAAACTATATTCAAAATAGTTTATTAAATGTTTGAATGTATCGGTTGTACTTTGATTATAATCACTTGTTATTCTTTATATTTTATTTGTCCAAATCCATTTGTAAATTGATGTGTGTCTAAATATTAAAATAAAATGTCATATATTGCAATAACATATAATCACATAAAGATATACACCTTGCTCAACATGTTACAAGGTGAAATGAAATTGACAGCAACTTTTTGTTGTATACAGTTTCTGTTACTGTTCTTAGAAAATTTATAGAAAAATCATCAAAGCTCTAAATCCAAATCCCCAAATTCTGAGAGTTTGGAATATGAGTCTAGTTTGTTTGTAAATTTTATCATGATTTTTAGTGATCTCTAACAGAGGTGAAAATGTTCATAATCACAGACTGGTCCGGGTTTGCCTTTGAAATGATAGGCAGTTTTGTAAAAATCACCATAAATTGTAGAAAAATCATATGGAGATGTGCAAGTAGCCATTTTAAAGCTAAGAGTTTGAACTACTTGCACCTGGAAGAGTTTTGAAAACTAAAATATTTAAGTTGACCAAAACAGTCTGTGATCGAAGTTCATCTTTTCTGATGTAATCTGATAGAAAAAGTTTAATTGTGTTCTTGATGATTTTACTTGTATTCCCCCCTTAAAACTTAAGAAAAACATGTAAATGTAGGGGTATGAACTCACCTTATGTGATTTCAGTAGATGAAAGTGAGATAGAGGAAGTGTTCAACCCAAGAACACTAAGAAGATGTCTTGATGATTCGAGAATCTAACACCGAATAAGATGGAATTTGTGTAAGATATCAATGATTTGAGTAGAATGGAGTTTAATAATTATGTGAATGATGAAGATACTTACTAATTGAAGAAAGAAATCCCTGGAGAAAGCCTTGAAGTTCTTGAAGTTGA